CCCCCCCCAGCAGCACACCAGATCCAAAGGTGAGCAGCTCGCGCTTGCTTGCTTGCTTGCTTCCTTGCTTGCTTCCTTGTCTGGTTTTGTCTCAATGCAAAAAGAGAAAGGAGAACAGCTGCCAAAAAGAAAGAAAGAAAGAAAGATAGACAGATAGATAGATAGATAGATATAGACAGATATATAGATGGATAGGATAGGCCAAAAAGCCAAAAGCCACAAAAGCCACAAAAGCCAAAAGCCACAGAAGCCACGAAAGCCACGAAAGCCAAACGCCACAAAAGCCAGAAGCCACAGAAGCCAGAAGCCACAAAAAAACAAAAAAATACAAAAAAGGAAACAAAAAAAGAATCCAAAATTAAATGGCCCTCCGAAAGGTATTCCACTTACTAGGGACTTCTTTGCGGTTGTCTTTAGCTTCACTGGTTTCGGGTTTCTTTCGGCTCGGTTTCTTGTCTTTAGGGTTTCTTTAGGCGTTCTTCCAGAAAAGGCATCCCACTTAACGAAGGAGAAGTAGGAAGAGAGAGGAACTATAATAGGGACTTTTCTGCGGTTGTCTTTCAATTTCAGTGGTTTTGGGTTTCTTTGGGCTAAGCGAAGTAGAAATCCACCTTTGTGCCAGCGTCAACGCAAAGAAAATAGTAGTTGTGGTAACTGTGGTAAGACTCGTAGCGGGGTGGTCCGAGTGATAGAGGTATTGGAAATAGTAGGGGTGGTGGACGGTAGTGGCAACCATTAAAAAAAAAGCGGGAGGGGGTGCGGGGAGGGCGCAGCGCCTCCCCTGCAATGCAAATCAAATATAGACAGCGCTGGGCTGCTTCGTTTCTTGATTGGTGTAATTAGGTGTCAAAGCTGAAGGTGAAGGTCTTATCATCCAACTTTGTGGCAGTGTCAATGCAAAGAAGATAGTCAGCAAAAGCAAAAAGCAGAAGCAAAAGCAAAGGCAGAAGCAAAAAGCAAAAGCAAAAGCAGAAGGAAAAGCAAAAAGCAAAAGCAAAAAGCAAAAGCAAATGCAGAAGGGAAAGCAAAAAGCAAAAGCAAAAAGCAAAAGCAAATGCAGAAGCAAAGGCCAAAAGCAAAAAGCAAAAGCAAAAAGCAAAAGCAAATGCAGAAGCAAATGCCAAAAGCAAAAAGCAAAAGCAGAAGCAAAAACAAAAAGCAAAAGCAGTAGGGGAAAAAACGCGAAACAAATTCCCGCAAAAAAGTTGAAAAAAAACGGAAAAATAGGGGTTCCGGGTGTAATAAAGAAATGAACTGACGGACCGAGTTAATAGAGAAATGAAGTGACAGACCGGGCTTAGTAGAGAAATGAAATCACGGACCGGGCTAGCAGGACATTACAAAGGGCATCCGCAAGCAACTCAAAGCTTGCCGACTGCTTTCTGTTCCCTCTCCTGTCCTCAATGGGTGACATCGCTTCTTGCGTTCCCTTCCACTCTTATTAACAGACCTCATCTCACCTTCCTGGTGGATTTCCGACCGCTTTTCCTGTAACGTTGTCCCCCCTTTCCTGTCCTCCCGCCCCTTGTCGAAAGACTGTCCGAATAGCCTCCTCAGCCCTCATGATGCTTAAAATGATGCACTCTTCGGCGTCAATAGTTACATTACTTGCATCACAACACCATGTTCACTGCTTTTCGGACCACCTCTATTTTTTGCTTTCCCCCACCAGGCTCTTGGTTCGCCCTACCCAAACTGGTCAGCTAGGTAACCACCCCCCCACACACACCCTATACTCACTTCGTTCGCCCATCGACATCTCCAGCCTAGCCTATCGGCTGGCTTTCGTAATTTTTCTATGTGTAACATGCTTTAAAAAGATTTTTCCAACTGATTCCAAGCTGGGACCAACCTCCACCTCCAGCGCATGCTGCAAGCGCCGCCGGGGGGAGGGCGGCAGGCCAACCTTCCGGGCTCCGGCAAGAAAGTCGAACTCTTGAATTACACTTGCACAACTGTAGATATTAGATCACCGTGAAACGGCTGAGGAAGCACCTGCTCCAGCATTTCAATCGAAGCAGCTCGAAGCGCCTGGCATAAGCATGCAATGAAAGACAGCTATGCCATCAGTGCCACCTTTTTGGATGCGAGACACACTGCATGGTGCCGCACCGCGTGGATTTGTTTGACATGCTGTGTCATTTTGGGTGCTGATCACCGGGGTGATCTGATTGAAACTCTGTTCGACTGTGCTTTGTGAGATGCATTGGCATCTTTGAGGTTTCATTGTATTCATTGAACACATCAGACTATGGTATGGTGTCAAACACACTAGATAGTAGACTGCTTTTGTTCCGAACCTCCATGGAGCTTCCAGGCGCTCCGGGGCCATCCTCAAGCAGTGAAGCCTCTGAGTAGAAGACAGAAATCACTCTGAAATTACAAACAACTGTCAGAACTCTAACATTGAAATTGCTCTGCTGCTTCTTGAAAATCGATTGCCCTTCACATTGGCAACTTAGCTCAGATCATATTGCTCCAAACCATGCTGTGCAAGGAAGCACTGCACCTGGAATGCTAGACAGCCAAGTGAATTACCTATGCGAATCTGGAAACCCACCAGATCTGGCCTGCTCTGCATCTTGATCAAATTTCTCACTCACTCGCAGCAGCCATGCCATCTCTGCACTTGGAGTCGAGATTGGAATAGCCGTTGTGACAGTTGTGTTGCGAGGTGTCCCGGGTCCAGGTGCTGGCACTGCTGGCGGTGGTGGCGCTGGCTGAGGTGCAGGTCTTGGAGCGCTGCTGTTGGTGTAGGGCCCTGTGCCACCCTCAGGCCGCACCTTGGAGACACGCTCTTTGCGGCGCGGGGGTTGGAAGCGGCGGCCAGAGGCTTTGGCATTCGGTTCCACCTGGCATCCATGGGGCATGGCAATTTTGAGTGGTCAGCAACAAACAGGCTGGATGTTTTAGGCTCTTCCTTCTCAAAGGAGTCTATCAAACCGAAGCCTGAGAATACCACAAAGCGCGTTCAATTTTCCTATGCCTGCAGGTCAAAGGGGCTTGTATATACATGTGTGTACATATATATATATATTATATATATATATACTGTATATGTATGAGCAAGGGTGCAATTGGGTTTGTTATATAATCAAATCTGCGCAGCAAGATGGTCCCTGAAGTGCCTTATTGTCTATCATGTATGTGTATAGGATGTATTATATATACATAGCTAAACTAATTTTGGATTGTTCCTCTGAAGGTCAAGTCGCCTCTCTTCGAAGTTGGCCCATAAGCTTCTCCAAGCGCTGCCGCTCCAAATCACGAAGGGCTGAATGCTGGCCATCGATGCTGGAAAAGCGGGACATCTTGCCCCTTTGAAAACTATTGTTCCAAGTCTTCTGTGCTTTAGTTGCACCCTGCCACCAGAACCATGCAAAATACCTATGCAAACTTGAAGGAGAAACCTGACCATGAAGCTGAGTTCAAATGAGTCGAGTGGTGTTCAAAGGGCGTTAATGTTTGATGCCTAGTCCAAACGAGGTCGGGGCGTCTGCTTGTTCAAGCTCCTGAGCTCATGATATGTGTTGCTAGTCGAGAGCCTTTGACCCGTGTCTTGAACATGACAAGCACCACTAAGTACATGCTCGTAGCTGCATGGTTCGAAATCGATTTTGTAGTCACAGTGCTTCTCCTAGAGACGTCCTTGCTACTAGTAGCGATGCCCGGGTTCCTAGTAGCGATGCCAGGAGCCAGGAGCTACTTGTAGCTTCTTGTTGACTCGTAGAAGAATTCGTCAGCTTTGTCACCAGCACTTCCTGTCTCGGGTCAACGCTCTTGGAGCATTGCTGATGCAGGCAGCTTGAGCTACAAGAGGAGCTACTGCTTCTCACTTCAGACAAAGTGGGTGCAGTTGGTGCCAACCAAATGAAAACCTGGTCACTGTGTGCCACCTGATGTTCAACACACAGAACCCAGCCCAGATGAACCCAGTGCTCTGGCAGGAGCTCTACTCCACAAAACTGTTTAGATATGATGAACCTATTTGACCAGTCGAATTTTGGCCATGGGTGGGCCAATCCCCTGTGCTGAGGGCTGAGATCAGATCAACTTGGCGCTGGCAAAGCTCCAAAACTTTACGCAAACAACTTGTTATGAACTCCAGCCGATGTGCCAACATGTGATTAAAATTGAACTTGTGATGATTGCCAGCTCCAATCATGCACATGCAGCAGGAATGGATTCGCGAGGTCCGCCGCTTTGGTGCTCACAATGCCTTCTTTCAAAGGAAGGCCAAGCCTTCATATTTCCGGCCACCAACCTGCCGGGCCAACAGAAGTTTGGCAAATCGGCAAATGAACTTGCTTCAACTGAGGTCACACAGCTATTGGTAGTGCCTGTAAGAAGTATTTGCCAATGGCCCATTTCAGACTCTGACTCCAGAGCACTTGAATGATGACGACATTCATAGCTCTGCTTCAGCAGAAGTACAAGCATCACCCACCCAAGCCTGGATGTAGGGAGGATCTGTATAAAACGTTCCCTCCAAGTCAATGATTGCCGCTTGAGTGTGCGTCTCTGCAGCCTAAAGTGAATGCCGCCGGGTGACAACCAAAAGGTTGTCGTCTTCCCACACTGTTTGTTCTTGAAAGGTGTGGCCAGATTTCTTGGTTGAGGTGACATAATGAGGATTCAAAACTGCCGAGCTCAACAAAGTGTTTGTAAAGTGTGAGACTTTGTTCAACCTGGATAGTGGGGCACCGCAAGAGGACTCTGCTTAATTAGTTTCGAGCTGTGATTTGTTGTAAACCTCCAATATCACATGGATTTCCACTGTTCGAGACATGAACAAAGAACACTACCTACAGCACCTGAACAAAGCATGAGCAGCCTCTTTCACCCGGAGAACCATAAAGAGGTGGCGGCTGCCAGGCAACCTGCTTTGGCATCGAAGGCTCTGAGAAAGTTGAGATCACTCATCCAGAACTCATCCATCGAAAAAATCTGAAAACTGAATCTCAACTGACTCAGCTACCTCAACAATGTTCCATGAGTTCGCCTGCGAATGGAGGTAAATCCATAGCCCATCTCATGGTGCTCAAGGAACTTCACCTCCACCAAGTTGAAGTCTCTCTCTCTCTCTCTCTTTCTCTCTCTGGTTTTTTTGTGTTCTCCAGAAAACGTCCGTTGACTTTCAGGTTGGCTGCAGCCCAATACAATAAGTGGTAACTCTATCCATCTCTTTTCTGTGTCACATGGGATCTCTGACTACAGGCAAGTCTGCCCCTCTTCACTTATGTCAAAGAGCGCTGTGAGGATATGTGAAAAAACCCTCACGTTTGGACCACATGACTCTCTGCAAAGCAAAAAGAGCTCGATAAAGAACAGAAGAGGCTACAACCAGCGTGCGCAAAACAGTGTCTTTGTGAGCATCTGTCAGCTGTGAGCATCTGTGAGCATCTGCCTACAATCAATACAATTCATAAAACCAAAAAAACAAAAAGTTCAGACCTATGTCTCCTGTCCAGCCTCTCCTGGGTATCGCTCCATGGGTCTGAACTTTTTGTTTTTTGTGCTTTTTTGTTTTGGCTGGTCTGCTCAAAAGTGACAAAAAGTAAAAGAGGTAATTAAAAAAAAGTTCAGACCTATGTCTCCTGTCCAGCCTCTCCTGGGTATCTCTCCATGGGTCTGAACTGTTTGTTTTTTTGTTTTGGCTGATCTGCCCAAAAGTAAACAAAAGTAATTCTTATTCATTTCTGAGTAACCACTAGTTCAATTCTAATTTAGTTCATTAATTGTTGACTTAAATACAACTTAAGTAAATTCTAAGTCAATTCGTATTCTAATTGAAATTCACTTCTATTTCTATTTACATTCAAGTTTGAATCTAAGTGAACTTTAAATTGAATTTAACTTGAATATGTAACACACTTCTACTTTAATTCTAAGTTGGGCCTAATTGAATTCTAAATTAAGTCTATGTATTTTAAAATTCACTGTAATCAAATCATAAATCAATGTTTATTCTAATTTATGCCTGTTGTAATTCTAATTATGTGTGACTACCCTGGATCTGAGTGTACATGTGAATTTGCAACATGCTTCTATTTTTTTAAGTTGAGCATAACTGAATTCTATATAATTGAATTCAAATTGAGTCTGCGATGTTAATTGAATTGAATTTAAATAAAACTGTTTCTCTGTCAATACTGTTCTACTAACCAAGCCCTAGGTTAAACGACTCTAATTCAATTCTACCTTGGGTCTAAGTCAATTTTAATTTAAGTAATGGAGTTTTTTTGATGTTGTTCATTCAATTCCAACTTAATTCCAATTTATTTCTAGTTTAATTCTATTTCATTCTATACTGGATTAAATTGTAATTTTGCCTGTTCCAATTTATTTGTAAGTGATTTCTAATGTTATATAGTGCCCTAGTACAATTGAGATTCAATCGCTTTACACATCTAATGTTACACTATTGTCATTACAATTTAATTGTGCTTTCTATATGTCCATTTTAGGTCTAAGTTGATTTCATTCTAGAGAGTGGGTGTTGCTGGGGGTGTGAATTTATTTCATGTAAGAAAGCAAATGCTTCCATGTTGGACAAACATAATAAAAATCTATCATGCTAAAAACAACACCAATTACCTAGAAGTAAATGAGAATTTCATAAAACCAAGAATTGAATTGAAAAAATATTATATTAGAATTGAATCTAAATTGTATAGCAAGAAAATGAAAGGTAGCTTGCATTGAATCCCACATAAATTAGAACCTATAGTGAAGGAAATTTGAATCAAAGTAGAATTAAAAGATAATTGAAATAGAGTTAAACCTGAATTTAACCAGATTTGAATTAAGTAAGAACTTGAGAGGAGGGAGACACGAAAGGTAGGACAGCGGGAAGAGAAGAGAACGCGAGAGGCAGGAACAAAAATGCAATGTTCGACATGGTGATTTATCCCCTCGGAGGCGACCTTTCGTAAATATATATTCATATGCACTTTAAATGTTCAAACACGTACTCTCGAAATGTTCAAAAAGATTCTTAAGAAAACAAACTTGCCCATGGCTCAGATCATCGGTGAGCATTGAATCGGAATATCATAGGATTTGAACTATCCTGAAACCATAAGAGGCTCACGAAGACGCTCCCCAGGAGAGATTGACGTACTTCACAAAACAAACTCTAGGTATGTATCCCCTCGGGGAACACCTTTCGTGATTAGAATTTCATATCACTCTTTCTGAATGTTCAAGAGGGTTTCAACTATCCTGAAATCATGAGAGGCTCACGAAGACGTTCTCCAGGAGAGAATTGATTTTAGAGGGGGGGGAGGGGGTCTGAATTGAGCGATCAATTATTAGACCCGGACGTCCCAACACTTGCTTCGCAAGACAAACTCAAGGTATCCCCTAAAGGGCTACCTTTCGTGATCACATTAAGATTTTTAGCAAACAACTAACCTTATGATTTAGTCATTTTTCCCCAAATTGTAGTACATAGTTGAATGAACAAATATGCTTACCAACTGCACATAGAGCAAAAAAGATCACAAATTTCAACATCATATCAATGTGATATCATCACCAAAAAGAGCAAAACCTTACAAAAGAACAACTTTCACAACCCTATCAATGTCATATCATCTGCAAAAAAAAAAAAACTTTACAAAATCACAACTTTCGAAACCCCCACCCCCATGACTACCTGCTCTCTTAATTTTATTGCATCTTTATAGTGTTCCTCCTATGCTATATTTTCTACTGTATTGAATATAAATGCATCCCTTTAAAAAGCGCACGCTCACAGTGGCCAGCTCTCAAAAAGAACAGGTAGCCGGGGTCTTCCAAAGGCCTCGATGTTGACAAAGCCCTCATCTGCGATGATGAGCATGTTGGCTGTATCCTTTCACAGTTCTTACGGCAAACTCCGCTAGTGACACACATGTGACACACATGGCATCAAACACCAAAGCCACGTCCGACAAAACTCTCCTGATGCTCATGACCAGGAGTGTACTTCGAGGTGGTGGATGCAAATCTTGGAAGCATGATCCATACCCTGATCAGGGAAATGAAGGCTAATCTTCAGTGTAAGAACTGTTTTGAGTTGTACCTTGCTGGGTCATGTTGTGCAGCAGTAGTCAGTAGTGTTTGAAGTTTTTTGATGGTTTCGGTTCAGAAAGAAGTTAAGCTTTAGATGATTAGTTGGGACGTGATCAATCTGCACCTCCGCACAGGCTCCCACTCAACTGCTTCATGCCACAGGTAGCCTGAGACCCAGGCCGACAAACATCGTCTACAATTGGAGAAAATTATCGAGGCAGGGTTTCTGCTCAAATCAGAACTAAATCTCTTGATAACGATAACAGCCTCCGCCATCCTGTATCTAGCTTGAGCCTACCTACTTCTACTAGTAAGTTCTTTCCTATGCAAGCATCCAGAATCTGCTCTACAAGGTGCACAGAGACGGGGCACTCTGTTATTATTCTAGCAAACGAGGAAGAACTGATTGTCGAAACAATACTCGCTTGGGCATGACTGGTTTGGATTTCTACAAAAGAATGTTAACAAGAGCTCCCCATATAATCAAAGAGCACTCGTGCGACCTGTATACAGTTTCCGTCTCAGCCTGGAAGAGTGGTGTTGGTCACTGTCCGAATAGCCTGCCAGGTTGCTGAAATTTTGGGAATGTTTTTATTCCAGCGAGCAAACAGCGGAGAAGCGCACATGAACGAAAAAAAAGCGGATCTTTTCCTTTCAACTGGCGGTTCGATCCAAGAAAGGCAGCTGACATTCAGCAACCTCGAACTCGAAACTGAACGAACGGCGTTCATGCAACTCGCTCAAACACTCCCCCTTTGGCCTTTCGGTAGGAAGTGCCAACATACATCCTTTTCTTTCAAAATCGGCCTTGATGGCCTGTGTTCAGCTCAAACTGCCTTTTTATCCTTCTTGCGTTCTGCATCTCGAGCACGGTGTGAACCGTAGGAGATCCACGATCCCGAGGTTGGCGCAGCTTCGGTTCGAGTGCACTGAAGCACCCCATGAGCTGCACCACAAGGTCACATTGGTTGGTGTTCCTCGATTGGCCTTGCAAAGGCCACACCATGGAGACTGGCGAGCTTCACCAGTTCTTGGCGCCTTCAAGTAGTCACATTCTCTGGTTCGGTGGTGGACCTTCCCGAAACGCGTTGTGAGAACCATTTCATTTTCTTCATTTCTTTCTTCTTTTCCCTGTGGGATGGATGCTCTGCTTCTGCTTCCTCCGGCCTGAGTTGCCGGTGGCATGGTGGATGCAGATGATGTGGCTTCTTTCGAATCCCTTTCTTCTTTCTCCTCCTTTCTTCGCTTCTCTTCTTCCTCCTCTTTTTCTTTTAGCTTCCGCTTCTCATCTTCCTCTTTCTTCTTCCGCTTCTCTTCTTCCTCTTCTTTCTCTTTTTGTGTCATCTGTTGGCTCAATGATTCCATTGGAATCAGCTGTTGGGGAACATATGGCCTTCCCCAAATCAAAACTGGCGTGAGTGGAACCTGTTGGTCCCTCGGAGTGAGAGGCACTGAAGACGGAGTTGGATACGGAGACGGAGGCAATGGAGACTGTGTTGGAGTTGGAAGATAGGTGGGCCGGACAACTTCTTCTTCACTTTCCTCATCATCCTGCTGCTTCTTGGCTGCTTTCATCTTCGTCCTTCGGTCTGGTGTTCTGGGAGGACTTCGCTGTTCACGACCAACATCACTTCGTGATTGGCGATTTCTTCCAGCTACTCCCTCCTTCAGATACCAGACCATGGAGGTGAGCATAACCACGATCAAGGTGTATAAAAACACCATCCAGCCAAGATGAACATCACTTTCTTCTTCTCCATCAACTCCCCCTTGGCCTTCGGCTATCGAAATCGTAGCTGCCAGGGTGAGCAACCTGAGGATAGTGGCTGCTTTGTGCTTGTTTTGCAATCCTTCTTCCTTCTCTTGACCTTCTTCCTCTTTCTCCTCCTTCTTCCCCTCCTCAACTTCTTTTCCACTTTCTTTCTCATCTTCAATCGACCTCACATTCATCCTCTTCTTCAAATCCTCCAAGCGCGAGGCAGCAAGGGCTTTGGTGCCAATGTCGGCGACCATGACATCACCTGGGAGATGATGGATTCCCCAGGATCCCTCTTGAATGGCTTGCCTTGCGTAGGATGCCCTTGTTCTTAGGTGTCTCGTCCTCCAGGATCCTCCCTCATTCACGAGGATTGCGAGACCGCTTTGGCTATCGGTCCAAGCAAGATGAGGCAAAGGACCTGTCAATTCTTCCAATATCACGCCCACGGACTCGCCTGCAATCATGCCCTCAATGACTTCGTTCAACTCGGCTTCTGCAGTGGAAAGGGACACAGTGCTTTGTTTTCCAGCTCTCCAAAACAGGGGACTTTTTCCTGCCATGACCACTGTGCAGCCGTGGGATTCATCTCCATATGGGGCAAAACTGGCGTCCGTATAGACGTTGATCATCACTTCATCTTCCTTTTCCTTGGCATAGCAAATGCCTTGATCTTGGGTGGCCTTCAAATAGGCCTTGGTCTGAGCTCCAGCTTCTTGAACTGCCTTGGTGCCACTCAGAATGCTGGATGCCATACGAGACACACTGAACATGATGTCGGGTCTGGTTCTCGTGACGACCCATAGCATTTCGCCCACGATCTTCTGAGCCAGGCGAACATCATTCGGAGACGTAGTTCCAGTGTCCTTCGGCATCATAGCTTGATCCTTCGTGATCGGCACTTTTCGAGGCTTCATTTGTGGATCTTCAGCGGCTAGGAGATCAGCCAAATACGATCTTTGCGAGAGATGCCACACGTCGAGGCCTTCTTCAGACTTCTTTTTCTTGACTTCCATCCCCAAGAACTTCACGCCTTCTTCCGTGATCTCTTCAGGCGGAGATGTAGTCCAAGTTGACATGATCTTTTGAAGGATGGCTTTTGAGACTTCAGGGCTTCCCGCAATGAAAATGTCATCAACATATGTCATCAACAAGCCTCGAAGCTGGTCAGATCCTCGAGACAGTACTCGCCACAGATTCGGTTCTGATGCGAGTGGTTCGAGGATGAGAACCTCCTTCTCTTCTTCATTTTCTTTCATGGCGATCTCCAGATCAGCGAGGATATGGTCTCTATGTTCACCCCAAAGTCGAGGCGACCTCCTCAATCCATAGATGGCCCTCTCTGGGGTGTACATCACCCCTCTTTTCAACAACCCTTTTTCCACCAGGATCGGCGGAGGTGCAACCAACAACAGCTGGGTGTCTTCCGTGGAGTTCATGGCTGCATTCAGGAAGGCGGTTTTGACGTCCACCACATAGCCACTCCATTGGTGCTGAGCAGAAAGCCAACATGCGACTCGAAATGCAGTTGCATCGGCTCCAGCTGAATAGGTTTCTTCTTCAGCTGTTCGTGACTCAAAGTTGCCACAAACCACCCATCTTACTTTCCTTTTTCCACCTCGGCGACCTGGCTTCTTGGTGTACACGAGCTTGGATGGGATCAGTTCGATGACTACCCCTTTTTTCTTTGCTTCTTCAATCTTCTTTTGTACTTCTCCTTCTTCTTGAGGGCGAAGTGCTCTTTTCTCTTGGATGAGGGAGTCGATCTCGTTGGTGGCTGGTTCAATCCATTTTTCCCATTCTGCCAAGACCTCCTTCTGCGAGACGATCTTCGTCTGGAGCACCTCTTCCTCTTCATCTTCCAGCGCTTCGGACATTTTCCTCAGCTTTTCAACAATTCTGATGGTTTCGACTGCCATTTGAGGGTGGTCACCATAGACACGCTTCATCTCTTCAGCAATCACCGTCTTGAGCCTTCTTCTTTCTTCGGTCTTTCTTTCTTCATCCTCCTTTCTTCCTTCAATGCGTTTGACACAGGTTTTCTCCCTCAGCCTTCTTCTTAGGGAGAGGCCGTCCAAGAGTTCCTTTTCAAGGGCGATCCAATGCCCCTCTTCCGGAGCCGATGACACTTTTCTCACCACGCTCCTTGTGAGCCTTGGAGCTTCCCCTTCCTTCACAATCCAGTGTCCGTGGTTCTGAGGAGATGGTGCCAAATACCTGACTGATTCCATGGTAGGTGAAAAATCACCCAGCTTCCATCGACGTCGGCGAACCAGGACCTCTTGCATGAAGGGCGGAAAGGAAGGTTTTTGGTAAGTGCGCTTGCACCTGAGCACCTCGTCGCAGTGCTTGAGCGCCCAGGGCCACCACTTGGCCGTTTCGCCAGCTTGGTATAATGCCTTGCGAACCATATTCTTCAATGCTTTCACTGCGGCCTCTGCACGGCCGTTGGACTGGGGTTCGTCCCCTGCCGTTTTGGTTACGATGATCCCCCTTCTGCGTGTCCAGTCCAAAAATTGGCCTGAAAATTCCCGACCTTGATCGGTGTGTATCTTGTTGACGGTGTAGCCGTCAATCTTCAACCTCAAGATCATTTCCATTGTCGTTCTTGTGACTTCTTTGGCCTTCTTTGTATGCATGGGTTCAGCCAGCCTGAAGACTTCAATGTCATAGTCCTGAGGCTCTTCTGCTGCTGCTTCTTCTGGGTATAGATCGACTTCTCGACCTTCCCTTTCTTCAGCATCGGAGAGGCCACCTGAGACATACTTTGGATCTTCTTCTTCATTAGGTTCTTCCTTCTGACTCTCATCGTGGTCCTCCTCTTGTTGGTCCTCTTCTTGTTGGTCCTCTTCTTCTTCATCTTGTTGATCTTCTGGATGGTCTTGATCCTCGTCTTCACCTGGTTCAATGGCCACAAATTCAGCCTCCTCGTCCAACTGTTGATCTTCAGGAGGTTCTTCGATTTTCCTTCCTTTCGGCACTGCCCATGTGAAGGTTCCAACGAGGAAGTAGCGGGCCATATGCCCGCCTTGATTGTATGCAGGGATCAGCGGTCCTGCAGTGTCCAAGGAAAGCACTCCAGCTAAGGGCTTCTTGACCTTACGATGAGGCGAACTTTGTTGATTCTGCTGACACACCAAACAATCTCTTCGTGCTGGAGTGTGTCCAAACAGGATATGTTCTTCCCAGGACATAGCTTTCAACTGCGGGCTTCGACCAAAGGCATGGAGGAGCAAGGACCTCGACAACATGTGCATGATGCCCGGTGCCCATCGTGCCAACTCCCAAGAACCTTTGACTGTCGAACTCTTTTCCCCTTTCATATAGTGTTCTTCAGGGTTGAGCTTCATGTTTCCTGCAAACGTTGTTGGCTTTGCAGTCTGACCTCCAAGTGGCTTCTGGTGGAAAGTAGTTTCATTCCACTGGAATTCCTTCTGAAGCATCTTCCATTCTTCAGTGTCCCAAAAGGACACCACTTCCGGCTTGTAGGCCTTCGGAGATGCTGGTTGTTCCAAAGCAAATGCTGGTTCTTTTGAAATTCCCCTGGCCCTCCTCATGTAGGTGGAAACCATTTGAAGAAAGACCATGCGCCACAACAAAATGTCGTCTTCTTGAATCTTTCTTTTTTCTTCTTCAGTAGCTTCTTTGATGCCATTTTCTTCACCTCCCCAACGACGAATGGGTCTTGGTGGCGTCTCCCCCCTCAACAGGGTAGTGTCTCAGAACTGAACGAGTCCTGCAATTGGGGCCTCCGACCAGGCCAAGCAAGCGATCTTCAAGAACTGCTCTCACCAGACCTCCATAGGGCCCATCCGGAGTCAGCATGTTGTGTTCTTTTCCTCTCTTCAGGTCGATCTCGAGGAGCTCAGCATCTTTTCCTCCTGCTTGACTCCATGCCCGACCGAGTGTAAATCCATCAGCTTCACCTGCATAAAGGTGACACACGAAGCCATTTCTCTTCATGCTTCTCCTCATTCTTCTATTGGCAGGCAGCGAAGACCAAGGTGCAGGAGAAACAACCAAACTATCCTTGACGTAGTCCGGAAGCCTGGACAACACCGGATGTTGTTGCACCAAGTCTCGCATCCATTTGAGCTCTGCCTCAAAGTCATCATCTTCTTTATAGTTCATTCCCAACTTCACTTTCTCAAGTTCATCAATCAACTGCAGAGCCAGGCGACGCGGCAACTGAGGACACCCATGTCGATCTTCCACTGGCAGTTTCCCCCAGGTCGGATGTTCCACCTCCAAACGCCCTTTCGACCAGGATATGGAACAGTTGAGCTGGTCAGCAAGCAAGCCCATGGGAATGATCGGCTCAATGTCAAAGTCCTCAGAGATCATCGCTCCCCCTGGACTGATGGCCAGGGTGGCCGTGCTTCCATCTGCAAGGGAGACATGGACCTTCTTGTAGTGTTCTTGATCTTCCCCTTCTTTCAATGGACGAAGAGGGTGAGTTGCACCACTGTCCAGCAGCCCTTCTTTTTCTCCCTTCTGCAATCTCTTCAACCTGAACGTTTTCATGCGCAACATGTTCAACTGTTGCTGTAGCTTTTCCATCACTTCTTTTCTTTCTTGCTCCTGAGGGAGGGCTGAAACAGGTGAAGAAGCTTGCGATGATGATGGCGAGGAATGCATACTCTTCAACATGTCGTTCGCCTCCTTGATTAACTCTTTGATGGATGGAACTCCATCACTTTGGTCCACTTCACCCTTTCCTCCTTCAACCTTCTCTTTCTCAGCCTTGGCGATCTTTGGCTTCGATGAGAAGTCCCTCACCTCCTTGGGTCTTGTACATGCTGGAGCCATATGATCTATTGAGCCACAATTCCAGCACCTTCTTCTTTCGTCCTTGAGGTCGTGGGAGTAGCCACAACTCTTGCCACGTCGACAACCTGAATCTGTCAGGTAGAACCGACACTTTCCTTTTTCTTTGTTGGATTCTCTTTCTTCTACATCTTTTCGATCTCGTCCTTCCTTCTTTTCTTTGTTGACTTCCTCAAATCGCTTCAACTTTGTAGGATCAGGTAGTGCAGGAGGATCTTTCTTTCGACTCTGCAAATTGACCTGTTCCAGCTCAGCCATCACATGCTCGGCATACTGGGTGATCGAAGCATGATTTGGGACCGAGTCAATCATCAACGACGATCTTGCCAATTGGAGGCGGAAGTTCAGTCCTGGTTGAGCGTCAGGATCTTCCGAAGCATGCGGCTTAGGCCTCTGGCAAGAATGGTGGGATCTGGTACACTGACCCCCAACTCTTCAGCACGTCTTTTCCATCGGATCCACTTTCGAAGGGTGGCAATGCACGAGCCAACACTTTGAGCTTCCGACGGGGCTTCCAAGGCACTCAGAATGGCCTGGCGTTCTGCTAGACCTCCAGGTTGATACAGCTCCATGCCTCGAACCAGGATGCCCAGTGTTGAGATGCTTTTGGATGCAACAACTTCTTCTCTCAAAGAATTTGGGATGGCGGTCAGGAGTAACCCTGATGCCCTTTTCTCAAGCCGCGACCACTTCTTCTGATTGAGGACTGACGATGGATGAACCTTGTGCCCCAACCTTTCCAGTGGAGTTTTGGCCATATGATCTTCATACCAAGAGCGAGCCACCCGGACAACTTCTTCCCACCAAGTTTCGCTTGCGGTGGACAGGTCGGCCATGATAGGCTGCAGCAACAACAGCCAGTCTGCATAGTCAATGGGCGACGACTCCGGGCTCCACTCTGGCAACTTTGGTAGTTCGACTGCATTGCGAACCAGTTCAGCTTCTGCTCCGTCTTCATCTCGCTGCGAACGAAGCACTTTCTTCTGCAACTCTTGCATGCCTTCAACCAGCTTGAGGACAACTGTGAGCGTCTGGTGCTGAGTGTCCATAGATTCAACTGGTTCTTCCTTTTTCTTTTTCCTTGGAACAGTTCCTCCTTTTCCTGTTCTTTGTTCTTCTGTCTTCAACTCTTCCTCTCCTCTCTCAGCTTCAGGAGGTCGGGTTGAATCACCTGCTTCAGCGCTACCATTCGGGGTGGCGAAAACAGCTTCATCTTCTTTTACCTCCTGCTGTGCTGTCAAGAGGCGTTGCAAGTGCACCTTGAGAAGTCGATTCTCCTCAAAGAGCTGCGAAATCTGTCTTTTCTGAACCTCATCACTTTCAAGCCTGGTCCTCGTCAGAGGATAGATGCCAGTTGCTTGATCTCGGAGTCGTTGGTTCTCCTGAGACAGCAGGCGAATGCGACGGTTCATTTCTTCCTTTTCATACCTTTCTGCAGCCTCCCACTCTTGTCTTTCTTCCTCCATCATCCTTTCTTGCCTTGCTTTTCTTGCTACTTCCTTCTTTTCTTCTTCATCAGCGAGGAAGCCAGGACGGTGCAAGGACGTTTGAGGAGTTTGGAACTGTGGATACAAGAGAGGAGCTTGACTATACATTTCATGAAGGCCCTGTAGTTGTTCCCTGTCAAACAGAGGCTTCACTGCTTCCGGTGGTGTTGCAATCGAAAGGATCTCATGGGGGCCATTTGGCAACACATCCACTTGAAATCCTTCTTCTTTACTTTCTTCTTCTTCTCCACCCTTTCCTACCTCAACCTCTTCTTCGGCCTTGTAGGGGGTGATAGAAGTCACATCTTCTCGACCCTTTGCTACCTTTTCTTTTATGCTTGGGGTCGAACTCAAAGGCATTGGCGGTCCCCTCACCTCTGGTGTTCTACCTGCAACAGAGTTGGTGACCTTCGAAGCACTAGTCACGGTGGTTGGTGCAGCTGCCGTGGAAGGAGTCCCTTGACTAGGATGGAATTCCGAAGCTTCCTTTTGCCCCTTTTTTCCTATCCTTTTTCCTTTCACTTCACTGCCTTGGTCGTCCTCCAAGGCCAACTCACCGCTTTCCCTCAGCTCTCGGTCCAGGCGTTCTTGCGCCTGCTTCATCTCTCGCTCGCCCTGTGCAAGCTCAGCAGCCGTAGCCCTTCGTCTTCTTTGGTTCAGCGACATCTATCGCAGTGGTCCAGGTTTTGGGCTCATAACCTATTCCAGCGAGCAAACAGCGGGGAAGCGCACATGAACGAAAAAAAAGCGGATCTTTTCCTTTCAACTGGCGGTTCGATCCAAGAAAGGCAGCTGACATTCAGCAACCTCGAACTCGAAACTGAACGAACGGCGTTCATGCAACTCGCTCAAACAGTTTTGATATATATATATATATTATATGTATGTATCAATATACGGCAAAAGCCAGCCTCCGTAAGAAGACATCATGTGGCCATGGGGGGTGCAGCCGAGATTGCACTGGAACCGCTGTCAGGAATGGGGAAATAAACAGCAGAGGTGGAGAGTCGCAGTAGAGGCCAATATGACAGGCTCTCAGTCACAGGTGGGGGAGTGGGGTGCTTCTGTTCCTGTTGCTCAAGGAGCGTTTTGAAGATAAAAACGGGCACCCCTAAGTAACTGAGAGCGCTTTAGCCTGCTGATTGGTTGTCTAGTGTTGTAGACTGACTAATAAAAGTCGTCGTGTTGCTATGAATGGACCGTGGAAAGTTTACTGCCGAGATCATGCGGGTGTTTGACTTCGGGGAAAGATTTCCGTTGTCATGGGGGACGTCGACATTGCAGTGATGCTACTGCTGTTGGAAATAGAAAGCAGAATACATAGGTTGGGGGGTGCTCCCCCGGTTCAAGGGCGTTTTCAAGCTGAAAAAGGGCACCCTTAAGGAACTAAGGGGCGCTTGCCTGCTGTTTGTTGCTCGTGTCCTGTAGATGGACTCAAAGACTTTGCGTGCAAGATCAAGTGATTGGCTAACATCGTGCAAAGAGTACCTTTGTTATGGGGCGAAGTCGACATTGCAGCCACGCCGACAGGGGTAGAAATAGAAAGCAAAATAAATAGGTTTGGCGGGGTGCCCTTTCTCCCCCTGTTCACGGGCGTTTTCAAGCTGAAAAAGGGCACCCCTAAGGAACTGAGGGGCGCTTGCCTCCTGCGTGTTATTCTTGTCTTGTAGATGGCGTCATAAACTCGCGCCGCCAAGAGCGGATCGAGGGAAGTCTGCCGCAAAGATCACGATCGTGCGATTGCCAAAAAATGAGCAAAGATTCACAACACCCCAAAAACCACTCCTAAACTGCACATACATGTCTTCGCTCTCCCCCACCAGGCTCTGGGCACCCTCCGAAATTGGCCGCTGTGCAACACCCCCCCCACCCCCTAATAGCCCAACCCAACTCCAGCCTAGCCTATCAGCTGGCTTTCGTGATATATATACTAAATCAATTTGAAGTCAACGTAGAGACCTGGGTGGGTTCCAAAATGAAACGACTTGGAGGATCTATTTCTTTCACCTTAAATTCATGCTTGCGGGTCACCAGGAGGACTCCCCTGTGACAGCAAAGGATTCATTCTGACCAGTTCGCACAAGTCATTACGTACATGGCCTGGTAGACTGGATGCCAGTCCAGGTTCCGAATCATCCCATTGAAGTCTATGACCTTCACCTGGCTCGTTCAGGCTCGTCCAGGCAGAGTAGGACACTTTGCGCGATCAATGCATCTGAACTATCTAAACATCCAGGATGCGCTGCGCTCGTTTCGAAAGGTTCTTCCGCATCCTCGCCGTTACTACTTACTACTTAGCTAGTCTGTCTTTGGTATTTATCAACTCCGGCATGGACTTGCCGGCGCGGCCCACTCTGTGTTGCGATGTAGGATCTCCCCGCTGGGACCATACCACTCGAAGCCGATGGAGCCCAACCAAAGATAGTCGTCCTGGCTCTCAAAGGTGCGTGATATTTGGTGGCTCCACTAGCGCATAAGTGCAATATAAGTCATATAAGTCACAGGTCGTTATCATCAGTTTTTCTGGCCTTTCTCTCACTTGGCAAAAAGCGGTTAAAAAGTTAAAAGCTGGCTTTCTTGTTAGACTTTATCACACCTCTTCTCCTTCCTTCCTTCCTCCTTCCTCCTTCCTTCCTCCTCCGCCTCCTCGCCACCACAGCTGCAAGCGCCAGATCGCAGTGGGCTTTACCGGACCTCAACCGCAAGCGCCAGATCGCAATGGGCACTGCCAGACCCCAACCGCAAGTGCTAGATCGCGATATGCACTGCCAGACCTCAACCAGCAGCTCCTGATTGCAGTGGGCACTGCCGGACCTCAACCACCAGCTCCCGATTGCAGTGGGCACTACGGGACCTCAACCGCAAGTGCCAGATCCCAGTGGGCACTACCGGACCTCAACACACCACCCATACAATACACAACACACGTCCAACAAAACACGACCACAATACACAAAACACAACCACAGCCATAAGCACACAAACACAACCACAGCACACCACCACAAACACACAACCACAGCACACAACCACAAGCACACAACCACAACACTCAAGCTTCACCACAAAAACACCGCCACAAGCACACAACTACAACAATATAGTTTATAGTTTAATTGCCTGTGTGTGTGCGTTAGCCACTTACCCTGCCGACACCCCGACGCAAACTCCCCAACACTAAAAAAACAATCCCAAACCCGAGGACCCACAAGCAAAATCGAAAACCTCGAAACTCACGACCATGGCAACATGCGCCTCACCAAGGCATGAAAACAAATGATTGAAATGGAATCGATGGGGATCACTCGAAGTAAAGTAATTAGTAGTGTAGTGTGTGTGTGTGTGGTTCTGAACTTCAGGCCAGCCAGGGTGGAACAAGAGCAAGGACCAGCAGAGATCCAAGCTTGGCGGCTCATCTGTGCATACATGACATAGTTGCTGCGGAGTCTCGGTTCCCATAACATCTGGCTTACATCCTGACTAAATCGTGACTGTGCTGGACTTCCTTGCTACCTACACATTCAAACGGTAGCAGATCGATTGGTAAACTCTTCGCAGTAGTGATCCAAAGCTCTCAAAGAGTTGACCATGAGTTTATAATTTATACTCAAATCCCGGTTATTTGCAGACAGGGGAAAAATAGATCTTTAAGTTGAAACGGTCCAGCATGTCTCACTTGTGCAAATGGGAGAGGGTGCGACGCGCGTGGGTGGGGTAGAACAAATATTTAATTGAAAAGAAGTGTCTAGAATCCATGCATTTGAGTGAGTTTCAGCTAGCTATCCAAAGCTTCCCGAGCGTTTGCTGATTCAGAAATAGAGTTGTCCCAACAACATTCATACCTTTGTAGAAGCTTGGTAAACATGTGAATGCCCAGCCTTGATGGTGGCCCATTCTGCCTTAAATGGTTTGGGCTCGTTGCCATCTCCATCAGCAATCACCCACCTGGAACATTGGACATCGGTAATGCAAAAGTCTTGGAATCCAGAGTGTGCTAAGCGTAGTTGCTGCAGAACAAAAAGGAAAGCATTGAACGTTAAGGACCTTTGGAAGATCTTTCCAGTGGCTGCCTCAGTTGATAAATCAGTGTACTTCCAAAGACACCACAAGCTCGGACAACGGGGCAAAAAGACAAAGTGCAGGCATGCGGCGTCAATTTTGTAAGCAATTCCAGAATAATCACAGAAAGCCAAAAGAAGCCTCCTGCACCATCAAGCAGCTCTTTTTGCAAATGTTCTGTCTGCAATCTTGAAGTGTCTTTCCCTTCTGTGGTTTCATGGAAGGCCAGCCAAACCTTACAAGCAATGGTTTCGTTAAGCACTTCTCCCAAACGACACTAAGACCGCCGCCGAAAAAGAACAAGCTCCTCACATACGTGCTAAGAACTGTCACACCAAGCAGTGAGAGGCATGACGAGTGCCGAGTGCCAGTGCAACTGAGTATCAGATAGCTCCATGGAGCGGTTGCGGGTTGCTGTCGAGGATTGCAACTCAAGCTCCTCAAGCTGATTGAGTTGCATGTAGGTCACCCCTGTGCGGCTGAACCTATAGTACATACATGGTAGATATAAACCAGAATGCACGAATAAAGCAACCAACAGTGAGCACAAAGCGTGCCACGACTCAGCGAACGTGGTTTGTGCAAACTGCAACAGAACAGGTATGTGTTACTCTCAAGGAGCGTCCTCATCCCAAACCACCTTGCGGACAAGTGTCCCAATAGCCGATCACTCCATTCCAACTAAGTGCAAAGATTGAAATGTCTTATGATGAGTACAACACATGGGTGATCAGTGGGGTCTGTTTTCTTATACAACACACTCCGCGATAACGATAGCTTTGACTGGGTTTAGCAAGAGAAGAAGAACTAAGAACACCTATCAAATTGAACTAAAACCTGCTGATTCGCATTTAGTCAAGCTTTATCCCCATGCAGTTGAAGATTCTTCAGCGGTTGGATTGGATGTGCATAGCTACGTGAAAAAGAACATTAATATATTACTATATCATATATATATATAATATACAATATATATAATATATTATATATATAATGTGCGTGCCCCTGAGGCAAAAAAAAGGCCGACTCACTGTTTCTTCCCCAATGCAGTTAAACTGATCCAAACATGGCAAGCTATTGATTCAGGTCCATTTGGCCTCTTATGTGTCGGACTCGAACTGGTCTTTGGCCAAGCTTTTCCTTTGATAGAGGATCCAAATTGATTGTTGGTCTAAAGCAGCAGTATCCCCTCGAATGTGCTGTGCACTTTAACTTGGGGTTGTTGCTCGCTCTGTTGTGGTTTTGGTTAATGTATGTATATAATATATATACAATATTATATATCTTACTTATATATATTATATATATATTGTGTGTGTGTCTCTATGGCAATACTTGCTGCAAGTATTTACAGCAAAATCGGCGTGCGACCACACACGCCGTCTGCTGGTGTTTGCAGCTTTTGGCGCTACAAAGACGCTATTGAGCAGCGCGATCACACCAATCTGCTGTAGCAAAACTTTAAACTCTCACTCTCACTCTCTCACTCTCTCACTCTCTCACTGCCATGCTTCAGCGTTCTCGTTGGCGTTCTTTTCTTTTTTCCTTCCTCACCGCTGGTTTCGTTGTCTAGCTTGTTAAGCTTTTGTGTTGATTTGAGTGCTTCTGTGCGGGGCCTTGTCAGAATGTAGATAAGCAAGCATACAAGAGTTACAGAAAAAGCAAAATAGGCAGAGAAGCACTTAAACTTGACATGTCATCTAAAAAGGACGGCCTTGACTACAAATATGATACAATGGTAATCGCTTCAAACCGGCCAGCAATACAGCAATACTGTTATTTCCTTGTTGACACCTCTCGTGCACACCTATCCCAGACCAATCCCTACTTGGGCAATCATCAACTAACTCTGCTCTTCCCTCTGCTTTGTTTAGCTTCTTTGTTTTGGTGCCAACACTGCTCTTGTGCGTTGATGCAAGAACCATGGGGTCGCAGCCAAGTTCTAGCCTCTCACACAGGATCTTCCAAGGTGCAGCTATCTACTGTAACAAGTGATGCCCAGTCTGGACTTGTTCGTCAAGCCACGGTGAAGCGGTCACGCTGCGGCCGGCTGCTGAGCCGGACCACGCGCCCTTTCCTCGATCAAAGTGGAGTTCGAGTCGGACTTTGTGAGGAGTCGGCCGGCCATTCCCTTTAGCCCGCTCGGCCCGCTCTTAATTTAGTAGGCAGCTACTTGATTAAGTAAGGGCCTGGCTCGGTAAGCTACTAGTTACTGGACGCAGGATAGCTCACATTTCTTCAAGGAAGCGCTCGCAGTGCGTGCAATACACTCATCCGCAGATCTCCATTGGCAATCAAGATTCTTCAAATAGGAACGCCTGCAGAATGGGGCACGATGGGGCCCAAACCACAGGAATCTATTTTCCGTCTCACAAACCACTCATGAGATGTTCAATCATCTTCCCAAGTCGACCATCATCATGTCCTGTTTTGAGCTGTTATGCAGCCTGGGCACCAAATGAACTCCTTTGGATCACGAGAGTTCAAATCCAGATCTGCCACAATTCCAAAATCGTATTCTGCCTGGAAGGCTGAAATGCTAATTCAATAGATCTAAAGGCAAACCTCAATGCTGCCTCAATGTAGTCAAGCCTTTCATGGTGTGTCCTGCCATTCAGGGCCATGTTTGATAGAACGCTGCTGCTGCTGCTTATTCACAGTTCATGGTGGTGGGGTCCACCAGTCAATGAGTCCAATGTTTACGCAGTCCAACCTCAATGTATTCTGAGGCTGGAAGCTATAGTAAAGCCTGATGCGACAGGTTGCTCTTGCCGCAACATGTTCTTCGTGTTTAACTAAAACATCAACAAAAGAAAATGTTCACACATGCAAACTAATCTGCCACGCTGCTGTGTCAAACCTTTAGATCCTAACTTGCTGCTGAGCAACGGCTGAGAAAGTTGGCGCTCAACATCCTCAACCTGACCTAGCAAAACATCAGAGAGCACAGCCGTTTCCGCAAAAGTTTATGTTTTGTTTGCTGATTTTTCAAGTTGATGTTTTGTAAAGCACCATAGAAAAAAACACATAAAGAGTCAAGTGTGCAAGCGAAGCCTGCACCAGCGGGAGTCAGGAAGGAATCAGAGCAGCAAGTGTGGCATCGTGCCTCAAAGGCCGTCACGGAACTTGGTTGGTGACGCACGCTGCTCTGCCCACTCACTGACACACAAAAACACCACAGTGAACAGGGTCGATTCCTGTTATCCAAAAACCATAATAAACCTTCATCGAAGTAAACCTTTCGGTTGCCCTTGAAATGTTCCTCGGCTAACAACAACAGACCAACGGCTTCGTGGTGATACAGGGGCGCCTGGGCTTGGCATGCGGCTAAGCCAAGAACCGCTGTCCTACTTTCAGGTCCTCATGGGCCCTGGTTTTAACTACAAAAAATACAAAAAAATTGGTTTTTGCATCGGTTGCACAGCAACCAAGTGCTCTTCGATGGCTCCGCTTCGTGGAACTTGATTCTAGAATTTGTTTCTGAAGTCTTGCATACTACCTGGTGTATTACTTAATTTTTGCGTAGGCTTCGTGTGGCATGTGGCATTCGGACTGTGCGTGCTTTATCCCAAGTGTGTCTCTCCTCGCGAGAACCCGGAGTGAGCCCGAAGTAGTGCCCTACGTGGCCCCAGTGGAACTGGGCGGTGAAATTGTTGCGTTCAGCAACGAGTAGTGCCCCAAAAGAGCCCACGCTTCGCAGGCAAAGGTTGGTTAAGACCTGACGACTTGGCATTGACAGGAGCAGGTTTTTCTGCCGGAAGACGCCCACAGCGAGGGAGAGGAGCCACGTAGATTTAAGCGGGCGTTCATGTGAACTCCGTCAGCCCTCAATAACCTAACGCGTACAGCACGCCTTACACACTTAATCAGGCTAGGTCACCCAGGATTTTTCTAATGAGGTTCCTCCTTCTTTTTCATGTCTCTTTCTTCTTCAAGTCTTGACTCATTTCTTTTGCTCCTGCCCGCTTACTTACACTGAAACTAGGTTTCAGCTGCCCCGATGAGGCGTGACTCATCGGTTGTCCCGTTTCATTTCGGTCACATGCGTTGCGCGCCCTTTTCGCGTCCTTCCTTCACGTCGATTCATTTGTCTTCATTTGCACGCACATGTGCTTTGAAAGTCCCCCACTGCGTGCGCGCGCGAAACCCTTGGAGTCAGGCACAGGAGGCCCATAGAGCTGTGCCCAACAAAGCTCTCTATGTTGACCCCGGGGTATGCAGCCTGATCAGCTACCCGTACCTGCTCGAATGCTTAAAGTTCACTTCCTTATGGTCCGTGATTGTAATCAAAACAATTTATCCACTCATCCGCAGATGCGCACTTCGGGTCTTGAGCTTGGTAGAACTACGTCTCATCTACATCATCACATCTTCACATCTGCACATCTACATCTCAGCTCATCTTCACATCTGCATCTCTACATCTCTGCTCATCTTCACATCTGCACATCTACATCTCTGCACATCTTCTACATTTGCACATCTCTACATCTCTGCTCATCTTCACATCTGCATATGTACATCTCTGCTCATCTTCACATCTGCATATGTACAGCTCTGCTCATCTTCA